CTCCTCTCAGTTAGGTTTACTGTTTCAGTGACAGGGCTGATTGTAATCAGTAGGTCCATGCGGCACTCAAGAAAATGTATTGTGAGTGCCTGACAGTGCCCTTCCTACATGCTTCAGCTACTTTGTCAAGCCAAGTCAGATAAGAAAAAAATCTGCTCATTGTAGCTCTTGGGAACCGCAAGACATCAGCAGGTAGCGAAGATGTCAGACCATGATAAGGATTCTGAATCAGAAGAAGACATCAAGCAAGTAGCTGATCTGTGAATGTCCAGCTGTTTCTTGAAAGTCAGAGTATCAGCTTTGATAACAATGTTCCAGGCTTGTTACAATCCACTGTGTAAAAAGTGCTTTTCTGTTCAGTTTTAAAATTCCTTTACTTTACTGTCAGATTATGTGCCTCATCTGTAATAGGAGGGGAGAACCTCCAAACCAGGATGCTGCAGTTAAGTGTTGTTGGTAGACCAGTAGGTGGTGCTCTTCCCAGCAGCCATATCACCCTGCAGCTCACAACTGGCAGCCCACTGAAGCTCAGCAGGTGTGAGCCTGGTCTGTACCTGGATGGGAGACTCCTGGGAAAAACTAAGGCTTCTGCTGGAAGAGGTGTTAGTGGGGCCAGCAGGGGGTGCTCACCCTGGGGTCTGTGGGGGTCCTAATGCCCCAGTATAGTGATGGGGACACTATACTGTAAGAAGTCATTGTCCTTTGGATGAGACATAAAACCGAGGTCCTGACTCCCTGTGGTCATTAAAAATCCCAAGGTGTTTCTTGAAAAGAGTAGGGGTGTTACCCTGGCATCCGGGCCAAATTTCCCATTGGCCTTTACCCATCATGTAACCACCTCCTAGTAATCCCCATCTCTGAACTAGCTTCAACACAAAATAAAAAGGAATGGAGATTTAAAGGAGACACAGTCAGCCACACATCACCTGGAGGATTCTGATCAGGTGGAGGAGGGCACCTATACAATGTTTAAGCTGACTGAGTCATTAGCCTTTTTTATGCTACTGTTAGTGTTAATGGCAAAGCCATTAAGATGGAATTTGAAACAGGAGCATCAGCTTCAATCTTAAGTGAAGAAACTTATAAAAAAATTGTGAACTGCTGGTCAAGCTCCTGCTCTATGTAATTATCCCATTAGACTAAGAACCAGTACTGGAGAAGCAATTCCTCTGCTGGGGGCAGTGCAATTGAATATGGTGGCCTGTGGAAGATCCCCCTTTGAGCGTGGCAAGGGGTCTCCGCATGAACCGTAACTGTATCTTCCCTGGATAGCTGTGGCAATAGCTTCTCTCGGTCAACTCCAGTTGGCCAGGTAAGCTCATTAACCGTCTTCTTATTTACCAGCGTCCGACCCGGAAAACGACAAGGCTGCTACCAGTTTTATCCCGTTATAGTTCCTCTCTGACTTGTAGTGCTTAACAAAACCGTTATCTCTGAATTGTCTCTTTGAATATGTCTTACTAAACCATGAGGGTCTGTGAAAAGACAACCTCTGACTGTCCTAGGAACTGCTTTTATAGTGAGCTAAAGTCACCAGGTGCAGCCAATTGAGCGATTTCCCTGTGAGAATCCGAAGAATGTGATTCTCCACAATGAGACGACCCCGCCCCTGGTGAATTCACCCGCGTTTCCAACCGTTGCTTGGCAACATGGCCAGAAGACAACAGCCGTCTGTCAGTGGTCAAGGGTTCAGGGCTAATCCTGATTGGCTTAAAGAAATTCATTTAGACTGGGGTCAAGTTAAGTATATGAGGGGACTAACAGTACCAGAGTTGGACCAAAGATAGGCAGATAGGCAGGAACTGGGCACTTTGAAAGGCATGACGGTATAGCTTTGGGTTGATCCTCATGCTACATCATGATTCTTCAAGCCCAGAGCATGCCTTATGCCTCATGCCATGAAACCCAAGGTAGAGATAGAACTACAATGGTGTCTGGCAAACCATGGGTAGCAAAAAGGTGATGTAAAGTCCCTACTGTCACTGGAGCAGTAAAGTTGGTCATGATGTGTGCCCCGAGCCACTTGGAGTGTGCATCCATAAGGACAAGGGACATGAATGGACCTGCAAAGTCCAAATGTTGGACCAAGATATGCAGATGTGTTCAAGGAGGGGCTGGGCACTTTGAAAGGCATGACGGTACAGCTCTGGGTGGATCCTCAGGCTACACCATGATTCTTCAAGCCCAGAGCATGCCTTATGCCTCATGCCTTGTGCCATGAAAAGCAAGGTAGAGATAGAACTAGAGCGGCTGCAGAAACTAGGCATCATGGAGCCTGGCCAGTTTTCATAGTGAGCAGCTCCAATTGTTCCTGTGTTGACAGGCAATGGGACAGTTCGCATTTGCGGTGATTACAAGCTGATCAGGTTTCCACTCTTGCATACCCCATTCCACGGGTGGAGGGCCTGTTCGCTACACTGGCTGGGGGGCAAAACCTTTACAAAGCTGGATATGGGCCACACTTATCAGTGGCTGTTGCTGGATGAGGAGTCAAAACAGTGTCACAATTAACACACACGAGGGACTGTTCAAATATAACAGCCTTGTTTTTAGTGTGTCTTTCAGCCCAGCAGTTTTTTTCAAAGGACTTTTGAAAACCTACTGCAAGGAATCCCCCATGTCGCAGTTTATCTTGATGACATACTCATCAACAGGTACAACTGGGGAGGAACACCAGAACAACTCAGATCAGGTGCTGAAGAGGATGGCAGAGGCAGGGCTGTGGTTGAAGAGAAGTAAGTGCATTTTCCAGGCTCCAAGTGTGACGTATTTGGGTCATCAAATCACTGCACAAGGCCTGCGTCCTGTTGCAGAGAAGGTCAGAGCCATCAAAGAGGCTCCACACCCCAGGTCTGTCTCCAAACTTCAGTCTTTCCTAGGGATGGTTAATTATTATGGGAAGTTTCTCTCTGACTTATCCACAGTTCCAACCAACTCTGTACAAGTTGCTCCACCACTCCTGTCAGTGGCAATGGGGAGCGGAACAGGAAGCTGCTTTCAAGACAGTGAAGGGACTGTTGCAGTCAGACACGCTGTTAGTTCATTTTGATCCGGACAAAGAGCTTGCTCTGTCTTGTGATGCTTCTCCATACGGGGTCAGAGCGGTGCTTTCCCACTTGATGGACAATAGATCTGAGAAGCCAATTGGTTTTGCATCACGCACATTATTGAAGGCTGAAAGGAACTATTCACAGTGGGATAAGGAAGGTTTGGCAAGATTACTTGTCTGAATATAAGGATACGATAGAGTCTGCACCTACTTCTCTCACATCATTAAAAACCATCGACAGCTTCCTAAAGCCAAACTGCCCCACCACATTACCTGCCTCTTCACAACTTTGCAACACGTTTTCAGATTTCTTTAGCTCCAAGTTCCACAACATCACATTCTCTCTCCTTTCTAACTTCTCACTTCTTGACTCTGCAACCATCAGAAAACGTGTTTCACATATGAAATCCAGCACCTGTATATTAGACCCCATCCCCACCACTTTATTTCAGTCCTGTTTCACTTCCCTCTGTCCCATTGTCCTCAATATAACAGATTAATCTTTGAGCACAGGTGTTGTACCAATGGTCCTCAAACCTGCTGCCATTAATCCTGAACCAAAAAAGCCAAACATGGCTCTGGACAATCTAAGCAATTTTCGCCCCATCTCCGACTTACCCTTTCTTGCAAAAATTCTAGAACACGTTGTTGCAATTCAGTCAAATAACCACCTCATTGCAAACAACCTTTTTCGAACCCCTCCAATCTGGTGTCCAACAGCTTCACAGCACAGAAACTGCCTTGGTCAAAGTCACTAACGATCTTCTAATAGCCTCTGATTTGGTTTTCTTTCTGTCCTCATTCTTCTTGATCTCAGTGCTGCTTTAGACACTGTTAACCATGACATCTTACTTTCTCGTCTTGAGAGGGTGTTTGGAACTTCTGACACTGGTCTCAAATGGTTCAACTGTACCTCACTTAAAGAAATGACCAGGGGTTATTATTAAAAAGGAGGGTCCGCTTGCCTTTGCAGTACGACTGATGAATGGGAAACTGATATGCCGACATCAAGATCACATCTGTTTGCGTCATGTTCCAGTAAAAGAGGCCATTCCAGATCAAGCAGCAGTGTCAGACCAGAGTGAAACTAAGGAACTGGAAGGAACAGCAGAACAGGTACCAGAACCAACTACTGTACTCCAGACCTGGGAGCAGATTCAGCCATCGATCTGAGCGATCTAACTCAGGGTGTTCAGCCTGTTCCTACATCTCCTGTTCCTGTTGCTCATGATACTGAGACACAGTTGTCAGGCGAGGCATCAAGGCCATTAAGGAGTTATTACTGTTGTTATTGCCAGATCTGTTGGTTGTTCGCCTTTTCTTGCTAGCAAAGTGAGTGTAAGATTGTGAGTCTGCCGTTTGAGAAGTTGTTCTTAACATTACAGAAAAGAGTGTTGAAGTTCATCAAAGCGTGCTTATTGAAAAATACCACAGTGTCCTAGTATGATGTAACACTGTACTACAGGAGGTGCTGACCGTTGGGTGCCAACATACTGTAGGTCCTGACTACCTGAGGATCTATGTTCATTATCATTGCAGTAGCACAGTTCATCATATCAGGGATGTTTCAGCTAAATTCCTCTTTGGAATTGTACAGATTATCCTTTGTATTTCTCCTACATTAAATCTCATTTACTGTACACTGTACATGAATGGTTTACTTAAAGACTTACAGTATCTATGAATCCTTTATACTAAGTAAAATTAGTAAAATTACTACTCTTATGTACCGAATACCTCTTGCATGATCCTGTGAACCTTTTCCCCTCATTTAATCCCAGATAAAATGACAGTTTACTAGCAATTTTATTGATTTTGTTTTATTTACAAACGCCAGTCTGCTAACACAGACACTAGCAATTATGCATTACGAAACCTTACAAAATCACTTACAGCAGCATTAACTGGTGATATAAACATATGACTAAAAAAACTGAAGACATGTTGTCAATATTGATTCTTTCTGCATGTTTATTATATTTATACTTAACATTAAAAGTGGTTCGTTTTGAAATAACAATACAGGTTGTAGAACCTACACGTAGAAGCCATGTTACAAAAGAAGTTGTTTCCATCACCAGAACAGAACAGGCTGTTATTTGCACTGACAAAAGACAAAGTGGAAAAAAAAGTAAACTTTTCTTTTGCTCAACTGATACATTTGTCAATTAATTGCAATGAATGATTTCATATTAATGCAGACTACAGGAATCCCACGTGCAGTTGCTCAAGGCTTATGCTGGGTAATTATGGCATTATCTTCACATCATTCTAGAACTGCGATCTTGGAACGTAAGGTCACAGATTCTGTGATTTTCATGGATGTCGGTGAATTCTTGAAAAATGAAATAACAGTATTCCACTTGGAAATGAAAGGATTTAATCTCCTGCAGAACAGTCGAGGATCGTTCTCCTGCTGAGCCGGGCTCAGGCGTGACAACCGGGCACTGGACTGAGTGGGCGCCCATGCAGGAGGGGACTGATGGCCATGCCAAGCATATCAAGATGCAAGCTCCGAGCACGGCTGCCGGAGGGGAGAAGCAAGAGCCATGCAGGGTTGTCAAAGGGGTGGAAGGCATGTTTTGACCAGCGTGGAAAGTTCCCACAGATTACGAGGAGAAAGCAGGCTGCGACTGAGGCAACTCGGCACGAACAGAAGGCACTCAGATAGGCCAGGGACTGGCCACGGGTGAGAACGAGCTGGTTACTGTCTGGACTGTAGAGCAGGTGCATCCTGGGACAGACGTTTACGAGCTTACTGCACGTCCCAGACAACCGTACTACGAAAAGCTACCTGGAAAGCTCACAGACATGTACAGGCACCATATACATCGCATCACTGTCATAGCTGTACTGTAAGCACACGGTCAATTTAAATTCTACGATCAATCTTATCAGTAGTTATATTCTATCAAATTAATCACATTGTTTAATATGGTATTTAAAAGCTTTTGTATTGATGTACTGTAGGAAAAACCACATTAAATGTATATTTCTTCCGTATTGATTGTCCTTTCTCAGGACCTGTCCGTGACTCTTTCTAAAAATACCTGTACCCAAATCGTAGCCCTTTAACACTGCCCCATCATGAGTGCTGGGGAGTGGACATGTTCAGATTAAAAATCACAATGATCAGTAGTTAACTGGGACTTTCTAAACCCAACATGTGAAAAATGAGCTCTAGTTTGTCATGTGTCTTCCCTTTGGCCTTCATACAGCTGTGACCAGCTGAGCCTTTAACCAAGGCAGTGCAACTGATAACATACAGAAGGCACAGACTCAGAGCTGCGCCACACTCATAACAAAAACAAAGATCTGATTGTCCTCGTATCCCACTCACACATTTGTTTTTTTTTAATAGTAGAAGCATGTGGGAATTTGAAGCACTTTGATGAGGACCTAATAATTCCAGGTTCTGGGAAGATTCTCCTGAGCGGATGCTAAATGGAGACTTCCATATTCCAAGAAGACGGTAACCCCAATCCAATTCCAGCTAAGGCTGAATTTCTTTTTTTATCTTTCAATCATTCCCTTGTAAGATAAATTCTCATCTTGCCAGAATTCTGCATGCTTTTATCAGCCCGGCTCCAGACAGGCCAGCAGTTTAGCCATGTGGGTAAGTATCAGGCAAGCAATGTTACATAAGGGTGACTCTTCCGTACAGCAACTCGCTGCATGAGGCAAAACCACTTCGAACGGACTAGCATCTCTATACCGCAGGGTGAACTCCGCTGTCTCACAGCTGCGTGTGGCTGTAGCCCTCTGCTGTATCCCCAGGGCCCATTTCCACTGTGAGGACTTTAGGCCTGTCGTACCCGGAGGAATTAAAGCCTGTGGTGAAGAGGTCCGCTGAGCCCCCGCTGTCCTGCTGATCCATAACTGCACTGACCGACTGACCCTCCTCCGTGCCCAAGCCGTGGTCAGTTCCTTCTGGCAAGGCGACAACAAGGGTCTCATTCAGCTCCCCGCAGTTTTCCGGGCCAATTTTAAACCTGAGACAGTCATCCAACAAGCTGTCTCCCGTCAATTTGTTTGTCTTGTCTTCTTGTATCAGAGGAGTGGAGCAGGGTGACGTTCCTACAGAGCACACCTGGGAAATGTGCTCCTCACCTCTTCCTAAGGTTGGTGCCGGCCTAAATCCTGGCTTTAAGCGCGAGACCTGTTATTAAAACAAGATTTAAGAAGGCGGATTTTAATATAAAACAATCACATATTCAGAGTATGCCATTACAGTGCCTCAGGCGTGCTTGAGTAGCTGATGAGTTGGTCCAAGTAAAAGATGGAACCATAAAGAACCCAAAAAAAAACATCCTTGCTTGGAAGATAGTAGTATACAACAGAGGGCACTACTGCAACGTGAACGCCACGAGAGTCCTAAAGAGACATACTGCTGCCCCCTGGTGTTTACTATACTGTCCTACAGGTTTCAGGCTTTATAAATACACGCATTTTTGTTGCATGTGTAAATGTTCCCAATATGCACAGCTCAACATTAAGCTCATGCCGTTTCAAAACACAGCCTATTCTCTCATGTCAAAATACAATTCAGGTTTAACACTAACATTAACCGAGTTACTAGCCTGATAATGTGTAGCTTATAAGCCAGAGGTACAAAAAAATCAAGGACAAAACAGATTTCAGAGACAAAAAAAAAGATGCATCCCATGATGCATGCAATACCTTGAAATCAATGCACACAATATCCCCAATGAGACTGCACATTTGCCACTCCAAGTTCTTCTGTGCAAGGCATTCATTTGTTATTGGAAAAGTGGATTAAGGAGTTGCATTTCCCTTAGAGGTTTTTTTTCAGTCTACACCAAGCAAAACTAGTTTACTCCGTTCACTCCTTTAAGGGCTTTTTGGGTCTGGATGCCAAGTGCTTGCACAAGGAACCAATTAGCCTTGTGATCAAAGTGTAACCATGGCCATCTAATACTTGGTTTCCAACAGCTGAGTAAAGACTTCTCTCAAGAATGTGCAACACACCATTTCATATGCAGAAAGACGAAGAGATCAATGGAGACTCATACTTACCAAAGACTTTGGTAAAGAGACCCGTCTCTTTGTCAAACACTGGAAGACGAACCATCCAATCACAAGCAATAATACAACAACAGACACGGTGAGACTGATAACGATGACTGTTATCTTAATTATATCTGAAAAAGAGCATGAAGAAATCCAAAAGGTTAAGAATTTTGTGCTCTGAGAAAAGAACAACAGGCCCTTTTCTCATTATCCTAAGCCTCGGCGAGTGGCTGATAGCTGCAATAGCTCTTTTATCAGCTAACAGACATTCTGTTTTGAAACTAATGCAAACAATTTAAACTACCTAAGAAAATATCTTGTGGATGTTTTTCTGCTGGAATATCTGCTGTTGTTTTGGCTTCCTCTTATGACTAAATTGCTGGGACCCTCACTTTATAAAAATAATATAATAATAAACTTTATTTTAGATAGCGCCTTTAAAGTTGGCTTCTCAAAGCGCTTTACAGGATGACAATAACAATAAACAAGAAGACTACAACAATAAACAAGAAGAATAAACAAAATAAGACACAATTACAATTACAGCAATACAACAATAACAATAGAGGAGACAGTGGAAGGTGGTACTAAGAAGAGCAGAGGGGTGAAGAATGGAACCAGTTAAGTAAAGGCTTTTCTGAAGAAGAAGATTTTGAGTCTGGATTTGAAGGAGTTTAGAGAAGGTGACTCTCTAATATCCTTGGGTAAAGAGTTCGAAAGCTTCGGGGCATAGCAGGAGAAGGCCCTGTCGCCCATGCAATGTAGACGGGCTTGGGGGACAGTAAGGAGGGCAGAATTTGAAGAGCGGAGGTTGCGAGGTGGGGAGTAGGGTGATAATAGTTCAGACAGGTATTGAGGTGCCAAGCGATGTAGAGTCTTATAGGTGAGGATGGGGTTTTTAAAGTCTACGCGGAATTTGACCGGAAGCCAGTGCAAGGACTCCAGGATAGGAGTAATGTGAACACTTGCACTAGACCTGGTCAGGAT